CTGCGTATCGCAGGATGCTATTGAGTCTTCCTTCAGTCCTGATGCCACATTCTTCTTCATATAATCCAGCTTCTCAGATCATGTGCTCAGCCTACAGACTGATGCACACGTTTCCTGATTGTAAGCCATTCAGTGTTCCCTTGCTTTGTTCCAACAACTGCCATTTGGTCTCTGTACAGGTTCTTCACGAGCGCAACTGAGTGTTCTGGAATTCCCATTCTTAGCAATGTTATCCATAGCTGGTCATGATCCACAGTCGAATGCCTTTGCATAGTCAGTAGAGTACAAGTAAACATCCTTCTGGTATTCCCTAACGTCCAGATCCATCTGACGTCAGCAGTGGTACCCCTCATTCCCTGTCCATTTACCTCTGTAACCATTTTTGAATTAGCTTCAGCATTTTTGAATTTTGCTTGCGTCTGGTATGAAAGGTATTGTTAGGTGATTTCTGCATAAAGCCACCTTTCTATGGAATGGGGACCAGATAGCTGTCGTCCAGATTGCTTGGCATAGATGAGTGAGTGCCTCCTGTGCTGCATCAGTTTGTTGAAAGATTTCCATTTGTATTCCATCAGTTCATGGAGGCTTGTTTTTCACCAATGCCTTCAGTGAAGCTTGGACTTCTTCAGTACTCTAAGTGGTTCATCATATGCTGCTGCCTCTTGAAAAGGTTGAACATTGACCATTTCTTTCTGATACAGTTTACCCAGTGCAGTCCTTCCTCCATCCTCTGTTGATGCTTTCTGCATCATTCATATTTTGCTCAGAGAGTCTTACAATATTGCAAGTCGAGGCTTGAAGTTTTTCTTCAGTTTTTATAGCTCGAGAAATGCTGAGTGTGGTCTTCCCTTCTGGTTTTCCAACTCCAGGTCTTTGCACATTTCATTGTAATCTTTGTCTTTTTGAACTGCCCTGTGCAATTTTCCAGTCAGCATTTTAACGGCATCATTTACTTCCATTTGCTTTAGCTTTTCTACCTTCAAGACTAAGATTCAGAGTCTCTTCAGACATCCACTTCAGTCTTTTCTTTCTCTTCTGTCTTTTTAATGACCTTTTGCTTACTTCATTATGTCATCCCGCAATACCTCTGGTCTTCAGACATTAGTGACTAATGCATCAAATCTTTTCTTGAGATTGTCTCTGAATTCAGGTAAGATATACTCAGGGTCATATTTTGACTCTTGTGAACTTGTTACCATTTTCTCTAGCTTCAACCTGAACTTGTATAGGAGCAACTGATGGTCTGTCCCACAGTTAGTCCCTGGCTGGCCTTGTTTGGGGTGAGGATACTATACTTGCTCATTGTCATTTGCCACAGATGTACTCGATTTGATTCCAGAGTATTCCACTTTGTAAGATCTATGTTGCTGAAAGATGGTATTTGCAGTGAAGATGTTGTTGGTCTTATAAGATTCTGTCCTGAGATCTTCAGCATTGTTTCTATCACCGATGCCATGTTTTCCAAATACCGATCCTTCATCTTTATTTCCAGGTTTCACATTCTAGTCACCAGACATACTGATTGTATATTTGATCAATTTCATGCTGAAGAATTCTTGAGTTTCTTCATCACTGACTATAGTGAGTTTGTTTATAAATTTTAATCATAGTGGTATTAACTAGCCTACCTTGTTGTGAAGTGCCATTGAGCCGCTTCTACTAGTGACCCTGTAGAGGGTTTTCGAGGAGCAGCTGGTGGGTCTGAACAGCCGACCTTGTGGTTAGTAGTCCAGTATCTTATCCTACAGTCCACACCAGGACTCTGGTCTTCCTTGTAGGCATATGGATAGTATCCTATCACATAGAGCATTGTACTTTAAATTAGATCTTGAAATGCTGTTTTTTTGGTTTTTTTTTAATGTTTTATTGTGAATTATGTGATAGCTTACATGGGAGAACATTAGTTTTACATTCATTCTGTCGTATATTGTCTCATTGCCATGGTTACAATCCCCTCCATGCAATCCTTCCCCCGT